AAGTCTTTGGGTATATTCTATCATTTCAAGTCTCCTTTTATTGCCTCTACCCAAGTCAACTTCGGTCTTCCTCTACTTCTCTTCACGTTACTATCCTGACTTAGGATTTCACTACGCACCGGTGCATCTGGAGGTCTCCGTTAGACATGTCCAAACCATCTCAACCGGTGTTGGACAAGCTTTTCTTCAATTGGTGCTACCCCTAATCTATCACGTATATCATAGTTCCGAACTCGATCCCTTATTGTATGACCGCAAATCCAACGCAACATACGCATTTCCGCGACACTTATCTGTTGAACATGTCGTCTTTTCGTAGGCCAATATTCTGCACCATACAACATAGCAGGTCTAATCGCCGTCATATAAAACTTGCCTTTTAGCTTCTGTGATACTCTTTTGTCACATAGGGCACCAGATGCTTGCCGCCACTTCATTCACCCTACTTTGATTCTATGGCTAACATCTTCATTAATATCCCCGTCTCTCTATAGCATTGATCCTAAATATCAAAAGGTATCCTTCCTAGGCAGTACTTGACCTTCCAAACTAATATCTTCCTCCTCCCGAGTAGTAGTGCCAAAGTCACATCTCATATACTCAGTTTTAGTTCTACTGAGTCTAAAACCTTTGGACTCCAAAGTCTCCCGCCATAACTCCAGTTTCTGGTTCACTCCTGTCCGGCTTTCATCAACTAGCATTGCATCGTCCGTGAAAAGCATACACCAAGGGATGTCCCCTTGTATGTCCCTTGTGACCTCATCCATCACTAAGGCAAACAAATAAGGGCTCAAAGCTGACCCTTGATGTAGTCCTATCCTAATCGGAAAGTCATCCGTGTCTCCATCACTTGTTCGAACTCTAATCACAACATTGTTGTCTATGTTCTTAATGAGCCTGATGTACTTTGTTGGGACTTTATGTTTGTCCAAACCCCACCACATAGCATTCCTTAGTATTTTTTCATAAGCCTTCTCCAAGTCAATAAAAACCATGTGTTGGTTCTTCTTCTTCTCCCTATACCGCTCCATAACTTGTCTTATTAAGAAAATGGTTTCTATGGTTGACCTTTCGGGCATGAAACCAAATTGGTTCATAGAGACCTGCGTTATTGCTCTCAAGCGATGCTCGATAACTCTCTCCCATAACTTCATAGTATGGCTCATCAACTTAATTCCTCGGTAATTAGTACAACTTTGAATATCCCCTTTATTCTTGTAGATCGGTACCAATATACTTCTCCTCCACTCATCAGGCATCTTGTTCGATCAAAAAATATGGTTGAACAGTTTGGTTAGCCATACTATAGCTATGTCCCCGAGGCATCTCCACACGTCGATTGGGATACCATCCGGTCCAATCGTCTTACCTCCTTTCATCCTTTTCAACGCCTCTTTGACCTCATATTCTTGAATTCTCCGCACAAAGCGCCTATTGGTGTCATCAAAAGAGTCATTCAACTAAAATGTTGTGTCCGTATTCTCACCATTGAACAATTTGTCAAGATACTCTTGCCATCGATGTCGGATCTCATCCTCCTTTACCAAGAGATGCTCCCTTTGATCCTTAATGCACTTAACTTGGTTGAAGTCCCTTGTCTTTCTCTCACGAACCCTAGCCATCCTATAAATGTCCTTCTCTCCTTCCTTCGTACTCAAATATTGATAAAGATCCTCATATGCTCTACCCTTTGCCACACTTACAGCTCGCTTTGCAGTCTTCTTTGCCACCTTGTACTTCTCTATGTTGTCCACACTCCTGTCATGGTACAAGCGTCTATAGCACTCTTTCTTCTCCTTAATAGTTCTTTGGACTTTTTTGTTCCACCACCAAGTATCTTTAGCCTCGCCTCCATTTCCTTTGGTTACTCCACACACCTCTAAGGTCACCTTCCGAATGTTGGTTGCCATCTTCTCCCACATGTTGTTTATGTCCTCTTCTTCCTTCCAAGAGCTCTCTTTGATAACCCTTTCCCTGAATACCTCTGACGTCTCCCCTTTCAGTTTCTAGCACTTTGTTCTTTCAATCTTAGCTTGTTTATCCCTATGGGCACGCACCTGAAAACAAAAGTCTGCCACCAAAAGCTTATGTTGAGAAACAACACACTCCCCTGGTATCACCTTGCAACCCAAGCATGCTCGTTTGTCCTTTTTTTTGTGAGGACAAAGTCAATCTGGCTAGAGTGTTGTCCGCTACTAAAGGTCACTAGATGAGATTCTCTCTTTTTAAAGAAAGTGTTGGCTATCATCAGGTCAAAAGCTACCGCGAAGTCCAGAACTTCCTCCCCCTCCTGATTCGTACTACCATACCCAAAACCTCCATGAACTGCCTCGAAACCTGCGCTTGTAGTACCTACATGCCCATTAAGATCTCCTCCTATAAAAAGTTTTTCGCTACTAGGTACAGCTCTAATCAGGCCATCTAAGTCTTCCTAGAACTGTCTCTTAGCACTCTCGTCGAGGCCTACTTGGGGGCATACGCACTAATTACATTCAAGACCATATCATCAATGACAAGCTTGACTAAGATAATCCTATCTCCTTACTTTCTCACTCCCACCACACTATTCTTGAGGCTCTTATCAATCAAAACTCCTACTCCATTTCTATTCGCAATTGTTCCTGTGTACCAAAGCTTGAAACCTGTATTGTCCACTTTCTTCGTCTTCTGACCCTTTCATATAGTCTCTTGAACGCATAATATATTTACACGTCTTCTAGTTGCGGTATCAACTAATTCTCTTAACTTACCTGTAAGTGACCCTACATTCCAACTACCTAAACAGATTCTAGTTGGTTCGACTAGCTTCCTTACCATTTGCACCTGTCGACTCAGATGTGAAGACCCTTACTCATTTTTCACTACACCCGGGCGCCGATGTAGCGCGCCACTAAGGATGCGACGACCCGATCCTTGCTCACTTGACACCATGCCCAGATCGCGACACAGCGCGTCACGAGGGTGACGACCCGACCCTTACTCATTTAACACCGTACCCGGGTTCCGATATGGCGCGTCGATAAGAGGGTTACGCCCCAACGGTTTTTTTTCGGGTTTTATCCCTATTAGAATGGCTAGATTTAACGTTGGCTCGTCACGCCTATCACAACTCTTCTCATTTACCAGGGCTTGTGACCTGCTATGTTGAGACAACATAGGCGGAGTTATATAGGTAGCTATATATATATATAATAATAATAATTTCCCTATATATATAATGTATACAAGATACTATAATGCTATTCAGCCTGTTCGCTTGTTGGTTTCAGCTACGGCTTATCAGTCAGTCAACGGTGTTTTTCTCTCACAATAAATCAGCACCAGCCGGGCTTATCAGCCCAGAAATCAACCGGCGAACAGACTCATTATATGCGTCTCAACAACCAATCAAACAATACTAAAAAAAAACACTCCTATTTTTTTTTCCATGCTACTGTATCCACCCAAGCGTACTTTCACTCATCCAAAATATAATGCGGCCAAGTGAGACTGTGAGAGCAAGTGAGCAACCATGCAAACACAAGCCGAAGCTGCCTGCGCTCTGCACCACGACACGACAGTACGACACACACTCGCAAGGTAAATAACAAGTGCTCCGAGCCGAGCGTGAGTTGAGTGAGTGAGAGTAAAATGAGCAATCAAGTGAGCGACACCGGCTGATCGGCCGCTCGTCGCGTGGCGGGAGTGAGATGCCATCATTCTCGTCTGGTCTCTGCCCGAAACCAACGGGTTTATCAGTGAAGTGATCTGCATCGATGGCTCTGTGGGGTTTGCCGCCGACGAACCGGCCGGAGTACGTGTCGGGCCATTGAGTCAGCAGAGCACAAGTACTACTAGAGACTTGAGAGCGATGCCATGGCGTGCACGTAGTACGGTCGTGTGTGTCGCCGTGCGTGGGTGGCGGGACCTGACAACCGACGACGTGGCGCCATGCCGCCATCTACCTGGGTTGCTTGCTAATCATTCAATCATTCCCTTAACCACCGTTGCTAATGATGGATCTTCTTCTTGTCTGCACAGCATGCAAAGGTCTACTCGTACATGTACATGTATCACGTGAGATCTGTGCGGCGACCGCGCTAGAGCGTGTGCGTGCGTGCGTTGGCCGCTCCGCCGGCCGGAACCACCGCACAGCAACGGTAACGGTTGCTCCTAGTACCTCGTAGTCGTAGCGGCTCCCCTGCCTTTATTTCCTCGGCGCGGCGTGTTCCGTGCAGTGCCATTACTCCAACTCTGCGCTTGGTGTACAATTTGAAACCAGGCGTCCCGGCCAGTAGCTGTAGGAGCGCTGTACCTGTCACCAACGCATGGCATGCATGGCGTAGTACGCACCTGGTGCAGAGCTGGGTGCGTTGCATGCCTGCATCTGCATGGAGGCACGCCTAGCTAGCTCTACATAGCTACAGTAAATCAACAGCTATAATAGTATTTTTGCCCTAGCCTGCCGAACAGGCTCAAGAAAGCCCGAAAAAGGGCATCATCGGTTATAGGGCATCTCACTGAGCTGACAAATAATAAACAGATCAAGGAACTGAGGAAAGGAGGAAAAGCAGTGGTTCAGAACATGCAAAGCAGATGCAGTTGTGGATTGTCTGGGTCCGGTGGCGATCTCGTGCCACCCGTGGCAGTGGCGACGTGGCGTGCCAACGCTTTTCCCCAATTCCCCCCAACGTTCATATTCCACCCCCAACGTCCAACGAGCTGAAGCTGACGAGTATATATATTTTACCACCCAACACTTCACTCCACGCTCCACTATCAACAGCAGCATTCATCACTCCCAGCACTAACAGACCAAAGACCATTCCTCGAACGCCGTGCCCCACTTCACCTCTCTCTTTTAAGATCCCACGACCCAACCGCACGCCAAGAAGCCTAGCCTACTACAACACCGACGACCACCACACCAACGACCGTTCCTCGAACGCCATGCCCGTGGCGCAATCCTAGGCGTCCATTTCGTATTCCACGGCCGGCGAAGCATCAGCCAGCAGCCAGCCATGGTGGCCGGCCGCGTCAAGGCGGCCATGGGCTTCCAGCGGAGCCCGGCGACGCCCAAGCCCGGGGCCGCCGCCTCCTCCACCTCCACCTCGTCCTCGCGCAAGGCGCCGGCGCCGCTGCAGCTTCCCGGGTCGGCCGCGGCGGCGGGGCAGCCGGAGACGCCGCGCCGGCGGTCGTCCGGCTCGCCAGCGGCGCCGCCCGGGTCGGGGTCCAAGGGCGGCGGCGGGCCGTTCTCGCGCTACTTCCCGCGGTCGTCCGCGCAGGTACAGCCGGCGCGCGCGGCGGGGCCGCCCGAGCCGCCGCCGGGCCCGGGCCCCGCCGCCGTCGCCGACCTCGCCCGCCTCGTCGAGGAGCTCCGGGAGCGGGAGTCCCGCCTCCGCACCGAGCTGCTGGAGCACAAGATCCTCAAGGAGACCGTCGCCATCGTGCCGTTCCTCGAGACCGAGCTCGCCGCCAAGAGCAGCGACCTCGGCCGCTGCCGCGACGCGCTGACGCGGCTCCAGGACGAGAACGCGCGCCTCCGCGCCGAGCTCGACGACGCCGTCGCCGCCGCCAGGACCAGCCAGCAGCGGGTTGTTGAGTTGGAGAAGGAGGTGGCGGATGTCAAGAGGCGGCGGCGGCGGGACCCCGACCCCGAGCCCGACCATGATGACTGCTCGTCGTCGGTGTCGCGCTACAATGCGGCGAGGAACGCGGTCGTGCCCGGGCTGTCGATTGTCCCTCCTCCCGCGCCTCCGCCTCCGCCGCCTCCGCCCCCGCCAATGCCGGCGCCTCACAAGTTCAGGTCGTCCTACTTCTCCGGCTCGTCGCGCGCCTCGCCGGCGAACTCCTCGTCCAGCTCCTCCTCGTCGGCGCCATCGACGCCGACCTACTCTTCAGACACCGCGGCGTCGAGAAGCCGCGTGCCGGAGCTCTCCAAGCTCCCGCCGATACCCGCCCCACCCCCGCCTCCACCTCCACCGCCGCCGTCAATGCCGGCGCGCGGACGCCGCAGCGCGAGCTCGTCACCGTCGACCTCGAGCAGCAGCAGCGGCGGAGGCGGAGGGGCGGGGCCTCCTGCGCCGCTGCCGCCACCTCCACCGGCGGCGAAAAGGAGCTCCAAAGCATCGTCCCCTGCGACTTCGGCGACGGCCCCGGCGCCCGCCCCGTGCGTCAGGCGAGTCCCCGAGGTGGTGGAGTTCTACCACTCGCTAATGCGGAGGGACTCCAGGTCTAGGGACGGCGGCGCTGCCGGCGACGCTGGCTCCGGTGGGGGTGCCGCCGCCGCGAGGGACATGATCGGCGAGATCGAGAACCGCTCTTCTCATCTTCTCGCGGTAAGTGTTCGATCGATTTACTCCATCATAGTAATGGAAATGGAAATGAAGTGTTCGATCGATAAAATTCGTTCATTTATCTTTATTAGTCTCTACTCATAAAGTAAAATTCCCTTGTCTTGCCATTTTAGACCCATTCCCCACTCATCTTGTATTCTTGTTTGGCAACGTCGTCATCTACTTGACCTGCCATTTTTGGGGAAAATTTTCTCAAAAGCGAAAGCTTTTTAACATATTGCCTTGAGTGGTTCTGAAGTAGCTGTTGCACTTGCTGATAAGGAGTTGTTGTGGAGAGATGAACAAAAGAAAGGTGAGCACCAGAAAAGTGATCGTCTTTTCGAGCTTGTGAGCTCGCATACGGCCGTCTCAGCACCAAATACAGTTGAAACAGACAATCGCCTTCCATGAATTCGTGCAAGAAATCCGTGGATTCCTGTCTGCGTTTGTCTTGGAATTTTACGGTCGATGACGAGCAGAGAGGACGAGGGAGATGAACATGATAGGAGTAGTCGAATAGGACAATGTGTAGTTGGGAACAAAAAAGAAAGCTGCAACCTCTTCTGGTCCTGGGAATCAATCGAAACAGGCTCAGTGTTGTCAGACTGACTCGTGGGGCCCAGACACTGTGACCATTAGCACAAGTGCTGATGCTGCCACTGATAGATAAAAGAGGAGTGTAAAAATGACCTGAGACAGGGAGTGCTGCTTTTTTTTCGAATATAAAAAGCTGTAGCTTTTCCCCAGCCGAAACCTCGAGGCCCAGCTAGCCGTTGGAGCCTAGCTAACTCGACCGTTGCTTCGCGCCATGTGTCTGCTTCTGTTGCTGGGTTGTTAGTATTTGAACTTGCTTTGATTATTGGGCCCTTGATTATTTGGTTTGTGATGAGAAACACAAAAAAAATTCTGAACTGATTAGTTTGATTGGTGATTGCAGATCAAATCGGACGTGGAGAGGCAGGGCGACTTCATCCGGTTCCTGATCAAGGAGGTGCAGGGCGCGGCGTTTGTCGACATTGAGGACGTGGTCACCTTCGTCAAGTGGCTCGACGTCGAGCTCTCGCGTCTGGTGAGCTATCCATTCGATGTCCCCGTCACGAATTCTGCCTTAACAGCGACCAGCTAACTTTGTTATCACTGGACGCTGCGCGCATGCAGGTGGACGAGAGGGCGGTGCTGAAGCACTTCGACTGGCCAGAGGGGAAGGCAGACGCGCTGCGTGAGGCCGCGTTCGGCTACCGCGACTTGAAGAAGATTGAGTCGGAAGCGTCATCGTTCTGTGATGACCCCCGGCAGCCCTGCTCTTCTGCTCTCAAGAAGATGCAGGCCCTCTTCGAGAAGTAAGTTACACTTTGTAGCTTTTGGTGTCGGCGATACATATTCAGTTGTTTTTGCTTGTTCTTGTGCTCATCGACGTTTCGTTAGCAGGTTGGAGCATGGAGTGTACAGCCTTGTGCGTGTGCGAGATGGCGCGATGAGCCGGTATCGTGGGTATCAGATCCCATGGGAGTGGATGCAAGACACCGGAATTGTTAGTCAGGTACTGCAAGTTAATTAGTTTTGACTAGGAAAAACATGTTGATTGAGTTAATTCATTGGATTTAACCATTCTTCCTTTTCCCCCAAAATATTCTAAATGGTTAGATGAGCTGCTGTGATTCATGCACTTGTAGACGAATAGGGCAGGAACAAAATACATAATTTACTATGAGACGCACTCAAGGTGCGGACAGGAAGAATTTTGGGCAATTTGGTGTTTTGGGACCAATAGTAGCTTTTTTGTTTCTTGTTGGGATATGCTAAGAAATGCACGTGTGAGCCAAGGGTTCCCGTGAATCTATTTTGTTTCTGTATGATGATGTTTTCTGAATATCAGGGTCAAATTAGTACTGTGCTGTGCTGTTATTTGGTCAGGCAAATGTTTTCTGTCGTTTACAACTTGTGGTACCAACCAAAAATAAATGCACGCAAACTTGGTATTTTTGGGACCAAAAAAGGCCATATCAACTGTGGTGGCCATGTTCTGTGAAATGCTGTGTTAGTCAGGGATTCTCGTGAAACAATTTTGTTTCTGCATGCCCCCCTCTGAATTTTTGGTCCAGAAGCATGGTTCATGAATTTTGAGCTAAACAAAAACAAAAAAAAGGCAGCAACACACTGTTACTCTATTCTGGCTCATGTTAGACATTTTAATTTAGAAAAAAAAGTGATTGGAGGCAAATTACTAGTTCCCCTGTTGTTTGTTTTCCATTCAATTACTGGGATAAGCTTAAGCCCTTAAACCTAACAGCAAATATACACTTGACCAGCCCATTTTTGTGGATACAGTTATATCGTTACAGAACTTACTTCCTAAAACATAAATGGCATTTTGATGACAAGCTGAGTCTTAATATGCAGATGAAATTGCAATCAGTGAAGCTAGCAATGAAGTATCTGAGAAGGGTTTCCTCAGAGCTTGAGGCCATACAAGTTGGCCCTGACGAAGAGGAACTGGTGCTTCAAGTAGTTCGATTTGCCTTCAGAGTACACCAAGTAACCACTCCACTTACTCATGTACGTCGATATGCTCTTCAAACTTGTATGTTGTGCTCAGCCCTACCATACCTTGCAGTTTGCAGGGGGTTTCGACGGTGATACGATGCGCGCCTTTCAGGAGTTGAAGGAGAAGGCGTCAACCTTCCAGCAACGGGAAAGCCAAAACCAACATCTGCAACAGCAAAGGCTCACTGGCAGAAGTTGAAACACATGTATTTATAGCAGTCCATCACTATAGCATAGTGGAAACGTCTATTTACTTGGCCAAATGCTATATCTCACATTCTCAGTCATCTTGTTGAGTGGCATGAATGCTGCCCTGTGTAGTGGCGTGTGCCTCACAGCCGAATTCTTTATTTTTAATATATAAGAGCATGTAGGAGGTCTGAGCATGTATTTTTTATTTTAGAGATACATGCACTGTTGATCTTGATAAGTTTCGTAATCTGACATATCATCAATAAACAATCATGACTAACTTCTGATATGCTTTTGTATCACCAAACAAATACAAATGTATAGTGGACCAAATTACGTGGAGTTTTGCAGCTGATATGAACAAGAGCATTATAAATATAACGCATTAGGATAGATGATAAGAGTCCAATAAAAACCAGTGCGCTTTAATAATTAAGTTGAACATAAATCATTGCCGGCTAAAAGGATTATTTGTTTATCGAGCCTCAGGCTTCTTCTCCATGTCCATGGCACTCAACGCATTCAGCTAATCTTTGGCTTCTTGCATTCTCTTTCACATTCACTATAGAACTGATGTTCTTCAGCACAAAGAGGTTTCTTTCCATCATCCAACAACTGAAAAACATTAACGTTATACAAAATTAGCCTAAGAAGTTACTAAAAGTGCTGAGCAAATCGAACGCAATCTACAGGTTCTGCCAGGGTGTGTTTGTTTCTCACCTCTAAACTTTAGCCCTTATCACATTGAATATTTGGACATATGCATGGAGTATTAAATATAGACTAATTACGAAACTAAATACATAGATTGAGACTAATTTACGAGATAAATTTTTAAGCCTAATTAGTCCATGATTTAACAATGTGGTGCTAAGTAACATGTGCTAATGACGGATTAATAAGGCTTAATAAATTCATCTCGCGGGTTATTGAGGACTTTTATAATTTGTTTTATTATTACTATCCGAACACTCGATGTGACACCCCACGTGACATCCGATGTGACACCCCTAAACTTTAGCACTTGATTTAAACTTCAGCGTTTCTCCCCCCATGTTCTTCTCCTCGTCTTCGTCCATCTCATCTTCGTCCTCCTCGTCTTTGTCCTCTTCGTCTTCACTGGTGTGTTCCGAAGGCGCTTTAGACAACGAGTATTCTTTCAATTTCTGAAAAGACATTAGGATGCCTGATCTTAGTATACTTTGATCATCGATGCAGATTGGGGAATATCAGGGATTATAAAAGGCATGACAATAGTGGGGTTCGTGTGAAAGTTCAAATGACTAATGCATGTTCGCTTGGCTGATAAGCCATGGTTGAAAGTACTGTTGGCTGATTTATTGTGAGAGAAAAATACTGTTCGTTGACTGAAAAAGCACGGCTTATAAGCCAAGCGAACAGGGCGTAAAGCATGGCAACAGGAAAAGCAATTGAACGCACCTTTCCGAGGGCCTCTAACCCTTCGTCAAACGGAAGATGAATTAGACCAAACCACATCTCCCCGAGGAGGTCCAAGTCGTATTTCGTAGAAAAACTTGGTAACATAAGAAGGAAGGCGTAAACAATTACGAAACCGGGATACTGCGATCCCTGGCATCGCCGCTGCCTTCACCTGATGGGATGCCTGCCATGCTTGCTCTCCGGACGGCCACCAAGGCGCCGCCACTCGAAGCTAGGCTAGGGTTCGCCGGACGCCGGTTTAGGGAGAAAACACGGAGTCGCGTGCGGCTTCCATCCCCGACTCGTGACCACCACTGAGCGTGGGGGAGAGGAGTTGGGAGCAGGCGTTGTTGGACCTGCGGGTGAGAATATGGGCCGCTGGATCTCGTTGGGGGGCTTCGGGTAGGGGAGGAAAACGAGTAGAAAGATGTTATTTTGTGGTGATTTGCTGTATATTGGGTATATTGGTGTTCAAGTTCGCTGTATTTTTTTCAATATACAGACTTATATATACACTACATCTATGATTTTTTTTGCTAAAAACTTTCGGCATGGCTAGCGCCCGGACGGATGCGCGCATCTAGACGCCCGCGCAACCTGCCCCATCTGCTGATTCGCCCTGCCCCTCATGCACACCCTGCCCCCATCGTTGCGCCCGCGTGTTCGGACGACTCGCATAGCACACGCAGTCTGTCCCATCCATCTCAATTCGACCCGCCCCCATCCGCCTGGTCATTCGCCTCGCCCCGCACGTGCACCCCGCCCTGTCACACCCCGACCGACAGCACCCGGGGCGCTGCGAGCCACATCCGCTAGCCCCTGGCTCGCCAGCGCTCCATCCCGGCGCTTGTGCCGTGCCACCATCATTCCTTGCGCCCCCTAACTCTTCGAACAACATGAAACACATGCAACATGAAACACTTGAATGCAACATAGGTCTAAAATAGATGAAACATTTAGTATATACACTTGCAACATATGTATGCAACATCCAGATAAAAACATGAGCAACTTGCAACATGAAAAACACTTGCTGCAATATAAGACTGAAACAGATGAAATATTTTAAACATATTGTTGGAACATATGTGTGAAACATATGCAACATCCAGATCAAAATATTTGCAACATACGTTTGGAACAGAGAAAACATTTTGAACAAAGCTTGCAACATGCCTCTGAAACACTTCTAACATATGCAACATTTGCAATATCCCCAATCTACTTTTGCAACATCCATATGAAACAATTGAAACATACCTATGAAACGTCTGAAACACTTGAAACATGCATTTGTAACATAGGCGAGGGGGAGGCCTATGCCGGTCGATTCCGGTCGTCGGGGTGGTAGCCGACGGTGTGTGGCGGCGCGCGAGCACCACTAGCATTTGGTTGTGCTTGTGGGTGCCCTTGGCCCGCCCGGGGATGACCCGAGGCGAGCTGCGACGAAGCATCCCGACGGCGTTGGGGGTTAGGGAAGAGGCTAGGGAGGCACTCTACTGTCAGCGGATGTGAGATAGAGAGCGAGAGATGAGGAGAGCGGAGGCAGCACGCGCAGGATGGGGTGTGGCGATGCATGGCCACGACGCGCGGGTCGAATCCACGCGGGTCGGGCGCGCGACGGGTGGGGCGAGCGAAGGGAGGGAGCAAGTGTCATGGGCGAGTCACGCGTCGCAGCCGGGAGCTAGTAGTAGCACGGGTGCAAGCGGTGAGGCGGAGTGTGGCACGCGACGTCCGGACAGACGCTCACGTGGAAGCATTATTGATAAAATTTAGATATTCAATTGAATACCCTTGAATACTGGTGGGCCCGACCCTAGCTGGATAGCATATCAGTTCAACTACTGAAACACCGATTCAGTATATAGTAGAAGCTGGCTAGGAGGAACAAGGACCTGGCTAGATGAAACAAGCTGTAATTTTAATTAATAGAGACAAGCTGAATGAAACATGAAACAATGATCAAACATGAAACTCTTCTTTCAGATATCAATTGTTATGGCATATGAACAACAAGTCGTACCTGTATTGTAATGCTTCCTTCATGGAATGTATGGTGATATCTTTCTGATAACTGAACTTATATATTAGCTGTTTGGCACCTATTGTAATGTATGGTCTGTTTGAACCAAATATGTTCCTTTGAACATATCATTTGTGTTCTGAAAATGAAGAGCTTGATCCATTTTCTATTAAATAGCAACACAATGGTATACAAAAGGGTTTTCGTGATTTATCTTGGCCATATGGAAAGCATTAAACCTATGCCCATTGTATGACATGTTTTTTAGTTGTCTGTATATCAGACTCGACTTATAGATGACACCTTGTCCATGGGTTGTACATGTCCTAAGGCATGAATACCAATGTAATAAAAGGGCTTGTTTGGAGGATGTGATAGATGCAACCAAATCAACTCAACTCTTGAATGAAAAAAAACATCCAAGGTTCTTTCTGTATTATCTCAACTCATGAATGTAAATATATCGCATAACCACACGTGTGTGCATGACTACTAGTATCTAGAAAAACCTTACAATTTGAACAGAGGGATAGTATATCTAGTAAGGTCAATTTAATTCAAAACTCTTGTCATAGCATCTCTAGTTAATCTAGATCACCAAGTTAACACGGTTTGACTGCTCAGGAGGGTAGATCGAAACTAGACGAAAAAAAGTATGCTTAATCGCACGAATGCTGGAACAACCGATCATACCAACCTGACTCTGATTATAGCCAAATTAACTGGAGTTCTTCAGCTGATATGAACAAAAACATTATATAAAAATAATGCATTAGAATAGATGATAAGAGTCCAACAGAAACCAATGCGCCATAATAACTAAGCGGGAACATAAATCATTGCCGGGTAAAAGGATTATTCCGATTATTTGTTTCTCGGGCCCTCAGGCTTCTCAACGCATTCAGCTAATCTTGGCTTCTTGCATTCTCTTTCACATTCACTATAGACCTGATGTTCTTCAGCACGACGAGGTTTCTGTTCATCATCTATCAACTGAAAAACATTAATGTTATATACAAATTAGCCTAAGAAGTTACTAAAAGTGCCAAGCAAACCGAATGCAATCTAAAGATTCTGCCAGCACAAAATCCAGTATGCTAGCATATATATCAGTTGAAATTTATACAAGTTAATACAAACCTTCAGTCTTCCTCTCTCCATGTCCTCCTCGTCCTCCTCGTCGTCCTCCTCATCCTCGTCTTCGTCCTCCTCGTCTTCGTTGGTGTGTACTGAAGGCGCTTTAGACAGCTCGTGTTCTTTCAATTTCTGAAAAGACGTTACGATTCTTGATCTTAGTATACTTTGATCGTTGATGCAGATTGGGGAATATCAGGGATTATAAAAGGCACGACAACAGGGTTCATGTGAAAGCTCAAATGACTGAAGCATGGCAACTACAGGAAAAGCAACTGAACGCACCTTTCCAAGGGCGTCCATCCTTTCGTGGAATGGAAGATGACTTAGGTCAGACAACATCTCCCCGAGGAGGTCCTTGTATATGTGGGAAAACGTGATAAAAGAAGCAGGGTAAGGCGGAAACCGTTCCGAAAACCAACTGCTATTGCGGTCATCGCCGCTGCCTTCACCTGATGGGATGCCTGGCATGCTTTGCTCTCCCTCAAACGTCGAAGGCGAAGCAGATGGCGGCGGGGGTAACAAACTGTGTTGCGTTGCGCTTGCGCGTTTGAGGAGCCGAAGACCTGGCCGACGGAAGGACACTCTATACGGTCCTCGACGGTTTCCAAAATGACCCTATATACGGCCCACGACGGTTTCCAAAATGTTCAGCGTTTTCGTTTTAATTTTTTTTTCAGCGTTTTATCAGTAGTGAAGCTGGCAATGAAGTACTCCTATATCTGAGAAAGGTCTCCTCACATCTTGAGACCATACAAGTTGGCCCTGACGAAGAGGAGCTGGTGCTTCAAGGAGTTCGATTTGCCTTCGTTTTGCCTTCAGAGTGCACCAGGTCGCCATGGACCTCGCGGCGGATGCCCATACTTGCTGCTCGTGTGGACCCTGCCACAAACTCGCAACATCCAAGGTGATCTTGCTAGGTTTGCTTCTCTCTGATGCTTGCACTTTATGTGTTTGGTTAAATGCAAGTTCTTCAGGCCACAAAATTCGTTGCACTTGCTTTCGACATATTTCAGTATATTTGTTCATTTTCCTTGGTTACCATCTTCCAGGTTACACCGTCTCAACTAGACCAGTTTCGCTGAGGCATTTGAAAGAATCAGTATCTAATTGAAAGAGAATCTTTCAGACAGTAGTGATTGGAGACCAATGCTATGTAATAGCAGTTTTTCTCTTGTGCAAGCTTGTCTGATCATGTATTCCATTCTTCCATGTATATCATTGCATTGTTTACCCTCCAACACCTTTTGTGCTACACATCAGCTTCCATATAGTACCTCCTAAAGGTTAGTGGTGACTTCGTGAAATTATTTATCTTCTGATAGGCTAATCCAAAGAATATGTTTACACCAAAATTTGACCAGCCATAAAATATTATATTTTAGGAGAAGCATGATGTCCAAAGTCTCCTCACGTGAAGATAAGGAAGACACAAGGAAGCTTTATTAGCGGATTCTACAAAAGGGAAAATTGGAGTTCATATATCTTAAAATTTTCTTTTCTTTTAGATTTATCTTGTTAGGCAAGTTTTGTACTAGATCACCACGTGACCAACTAGGATTGTTTTAAGCCTCAGGGTATAAATATAAATCCCGGCTATTGTAATCAGACATCAATCCAATCAATACAAATTACTTTTTTCGGCTTTATGCCAACTCTTAGGAGTAGGAGTAGTGTAGATCTCGGCGAGTTCTTCAACAAGCAGGGCTGCATCGGTCCGACCGACCTCCGGCTTATCTGTAAGTACCGTCATGGCTTATACTTCCGTTTGTAAGGTTACATCGGTTAAGTTCGACCTTCACTACGAACTCTAATATAAGCTAGTTATCGATTCTTATCTAGTTCAAGTACGGCGGCATCGGTTAAGTTTGACCTCTACTGCTCGAATTAGATCAATGTCAAGTTATCGGCTCTGTCTAAGGGTGGCATCCTTCGGGTAGATTCATTAAGTTACCGATCTTGCTGATGTTCTTATTGTCATTAGTTTTCAGCAACATCAACCTGTCCGATCGAGATCGATCTAGATCGGCCTCATATCCTTTTAGTCCGTCGTTTGCTTTATTACAATACGATGTTTCTTAGTTTGAGCGATGGGTTATGTTTCATTGGCTGTTCTACTTCGATCTTGATCGTGCATAGCACACGGTTAAGGCATGTCCGATCTTGAGGAGGTTTACTGGCTAGTTAAATCTAGTCTATAGTTCGCTATTATGGCTGTAACGATCCGATCGATCCCCACTAATGACACTTTAGATCGGAGGATGCTAGTTGGTAGATTTGTTTTCAATCAGGCGTGACCTTGACTGTTTGCTATACCTGCATCGGCAAAATAGCCGATCGCCCGCACTTTAATGCCTACAGTGTGTTTCCATGATTCTGTTAAATGTGAATAGATATATTTACTCTGAAGGTTTAATTTGTTGTCTTTATCACGACTGTCATTGACCCGGTCGAACTCCACTGTTAGAGATAACAGGTTAAATCTGATGAGTTCATAGATTTGTCCATGTTAAATGGTCGATTGTTTACATGTTTTAGTCCCCTTTCCACCTGAATCGGCTATTTCAGCCGATTCGCTTAAGCTTTTACACATATAGCATGCCTTTCGGAAAGCCTGTCAATGTATAGATGATTTTACGGATTCTTGGGTTTTAGTTTGTTATTATCATCATAGCTGCCATCGATCCGGTCGAACCTCACTATTGATGGTAACAGATTAGATTCAAAGCGTTTGTAGATCCATTTATACTAAACAGTCGATTTATTTGCATGTTATATCATTTCTCGTTAGATTCATCGGCTCAATGCCTTACACTGGTAATACCTACCTAGCTGATGATTTTACTTATATCTGCATGCATTGTACTTGTCAACATAAGATCAATCATAACTCACGAGCTTTACAATCCGTAACGGCCGATTTCTTCGCGTATCGGTCGTTTAGTCGATTTTTCCCGTCTGGCTGCTCCCGAAGCGGCACACTTGAAACTGTCTGGCCAAAACCGGTGTGTTCCACCTTAAATTACTGATAAACTTTCTCTCATTGTCAATTACAGGTCAAATTGACTGGCACGTCTCGGGAGGAATTCGCGGGATCGGCTAGCCTTGCATTGAAGCCAAGCGGATCTCCAACCTTGCTCCATCAAACAAATCCTTCCGGCTTACTGTGTGCCAGGCACATCGACACGTTTTTGCGCCGACACATTGAGTAGTAGGTGATTCCAAATTTCTGTATTTTATTAAGGCTGAATGGTGAATGCCATCGAGTGGTAAATGATTCCAGCGCTGTCAGATTTGCATCTACCTCATACCTGCTGCCATTGCTTTTTCTAATAAAGACTGAAAGGAGTTAGAGGGCAAAAGTTTATGCAATACTACTATTAAAGAAACATGTTTCGATGATGAATACTATGATCTTTCGGAAAAAAATGATGATTACTATTAACGGAACATGCTTCAATGATTATGTCAGATTTCTCCTGTTTTATCACGGTTGTATGGCATGTATGTTTGATGGAAGACTGCAACTATAAAATTTGGTCTTTATCATTTTAGTTATCCCAGATTTTTATAGGTGCTCTTTATTTTCCTTTGTCAATATAATATTTTTTTCCTTGGCTTATTACAATAGTGCAGGGCTTTAGAAACTATAGTGTAGCAACTAACTGGCACTTTCCTTGCCTAATTTTCTGAAGGTTTTTTTTTCGTAGAATGCGCAAAAGGCTTGCGTATCTTTGTATTAAGGAGAAAAATGAGTTTTAATACAACGCAAGGTTTATAATACCGGTAAGAAAAAAAATTTGGTCCTCAGCGATAAATATGAAATTTGGAAATATCAGCTATATTTCGCCGAAATTGTAAACCCTTTACAACAACGCGTCTCATTAAGAGGCGCACTAGGGGGGAGATAAGAGATTACAGTGAAGGCTTGGCCCACCCTAGTTGAATGAGAGAATGATTTACGCAATTACTCGCTCCTTAAACAACCTATGTTGGTAGCCCCGGCTTCGATCCATTGGCCCACAGTTTGCCGAATGGTTACGAGTAGATGTTGCACGGAGGCAGACGCTCCACAGAAGCAGCGAGCATTACGCTCCTTACAAAGTTCCCAGACTACCAGCGCGAACAAAGAGTCGGCACCTCTTCTTGCTTGACCGTGCCACCGAAGACGCCAGGAACCTACGATTGAGGTGTCAACGCCGAAGCTGACAAGGATGTTCCACCACACCTCTCTCGAATAGGAGCAAGAAGCCAGGATGTGATCTAGTGTCTGGCTCTTGATCGCAGAGGACGGCCAATAGACAATGCAGGGTATAACAGATGCATGGGACGGCCAATAGACATTCAAACCTTGAAGCTTCAAGAGTTGATAATTATTCAAAGATGATAAGAGTCTAACAGAAACCAAAAAATAATTAAGTTGAACATAAATCATTGCCGGCTAAAAGAATTATTTGTTTCTCGAGCCTCGGACTTCTTCACCATGGCACTCAACGCATTCAGCTAATTATGGCTTATTCGCTTTCACATTCACGATAGACCTGGTGTTCTTCAGCAGAGAGAGGTTTCTTTTCATCATCTATCAGCTGAAAAACATTAATGTCATACAAATTAGCCTAAGAAGTTTACTAAAAATGCTGAGCAAACCGAATGCAATCTACAGATTCTGCCAGCACAAAATCTGGTATGTCGGCATATCAATTGAAATTTACAGAACACTATACAAACCTTCAGTCTTCCTCCCTCCCTATCCTTCTCCACCTGCAGTATTCCTCCCTCCCTATCCTCCTCGACTTCTTCCACCTCATCTTCATCCTCCTCGTCTTCGTCCTCCTCGACTTCGCTGGTACAGCTGGTGTGTCCCGAAGGCGCTTTAGACAGCGAGTATTCTTCCAATTTCTGAAAAGGGGTTACAATGCTTGATCAGGGGTTAGTATACTTCGATCGTCGATGCAGATTGGGGAATATCAGGGATTATAAAAGGCACGGCAATAGGGTTGGTGTGAAAGTTCAAATGACTGAAGCAATATGGCAACAGGAAAAGCAACTGAACGTACCTTTCCAAGGGCGTCCATCGTTAGATCACTTAGGTCAGACAACATCTCCCCGAGGAAAGCTCCGAAACAATTTGAGAACAGAAGTAGAGTAAGGCGGAAACAGTTTGGAAAAAAACCTGCCTTCACCTGATGGGATGCCTGCCATGCTTGCCTCAAAGTCTCAAACGTCGAAGGCGAGGATGGCGGCGGCGGGGTAAGGCTATCTCCAACAACAACACCAAAAATACAAGATCCATTCGTCCTTTGGGTAGCGCTACAGGCAAAAGATTCAATACATATTCGATATCTTCTCCAACAACAAGACTCAAAACAGAATCCTTTCTGTAAATGGGTTTCCAGGAGAGAGGATGCCCATATTTAAGTTGTGCCTCTTAGGCAATACAAAATAGATTTCTCGTATAGATACTTTGTTGA